GAGTGCAAGAGAGAAATATAGAAAGAATTTTAAGGACGATTTTGGAAGGAACTATTCAAATTTGAAAAATTTTGCAGAGACAAAAATGAAGATTATAAATAGGAACAAAGATAAAATTAGAATTCATCACTGAGACTCAGATTTTGGAATTTATACATTTTTTCTTATATATATATATATTTTCTTTCTGACCAGTCCCACTTTTTCATCATATATCTGGCTTGTGCTGGCTAGGAGGACCGGGGTTGTGCCCTTATGATTATGATATATGGTAAGCTGATTTTCTTAAAGGAAGACATTTGAAAATTCCGATGATTTTGTTACTTGACTTTTGATTTGTCATGAATTTGTATAAGTGAGGAATTATCGACAAATTCAATGGCTGGATAATTGGGAACAAAATTTTGATTGTGAAAGAGGAAAATTGAATTTCTTACAGTTTTATGCATTGCCAAACATTTTAATGCAAAATAAAATTATTATAAAAATCAATTTATTGACGTTATTATTATACATAACTTCAGATTCTTCCACTTTTCAACATATAGCCCAATAGATTACTGAATTGCCAGCCTTTTAATTGTTTTAGGCTTTGCTAATAAGAAAAACTGCCATGAAAAATGCTTCCTCACAACAAATTAAATTTGTTGAATTATTTAAATGAAGTCTGTTCCCCCATCCTTAGTGATTTTCAGCATAATTTTTCTTATTAACTCCTTCAGATGGGTGTATCATATATGAATCAACAGTTAATCCTCTTATGAGAGGCATGCCGCTTAGCTCAACTTACCTTGGAGACGGTGTATTGTTGCAGTAGTATGATGTCACAAGATGGGATTATTCACGTTGCTAAGCCTAACTTTTTTTTAAAAAATCATTAAAAGTATTTTTTATCAATTGTTTTGATTTTTTTCTGTAATGGTATCTAACACTAATATAATCATAAATACAGAATACCAAGGGATTCTGAAAAAAAAATTTAATTAAAATCTTAATAAAAAATAATATTGACTCATCTGATAAAATTGTTTGTAAAATCTTACTTACTTTTATCTAAAATACATAAAATATAATAAAATATGTGATTAAATATTATAGCATAAATAATTCTTAGAAGGAGATTAAAAATAGTGCGTGATAATGTAGTTTCTATCTTTCATTAGTTATTAAACACATTTTCAGGTCAGACTTTTTAATTTTTCTATCCCAGCAGAATAATTAATCCTAGGATTCCTCTAATTTTAGACACATTAATGGAGTATGTTAATTTTGGTTGAAGATAGATTAAAAAAAAATCATTTTCATAACTTTGAATTAAGTTTACGTCTGTAATTCCCTTAAATTCATAAGTCTTCAATTAATTAACAGATCAAGTTCATGATGAATTACCCACTGTTCTGCTGGATTGTGAGGTGAAAGTAAAACAAACTTCTAATTCAGTGTCAGAAAATTTCGGTATCAAAATCACCTTTCTCGCTTAAATCTAGAGTTTTCATTGTCAAAATAGTCGCTCATGGGCCTTATAATTCAAATATCCTCTTTTATTAAAAACTTCTTTCTCTTAGACATTGCACTATTAGTTTAACTCTATTACCCAGTCCAAAAAACTTAGTCTGCTATCTAAAGAGGATGCAAACTGAATAGAAACTGGAGTTCCTAAAACCACAGCTCCACTTCCAATCTGTACATAGGAAAATTAAAACACAAATCTGGAGCATTTCCTCATGTTTTCTTTCCTACTCGTGATTTTCTCAGGGTAAAATTGTAAGAAAATTATAAAATGAAATGATTAAAAAAATAACATTTAGGATATATAATTTAATACATTGACAGCAGAATCATGTTGTATATAGTTCAGAAACAAGAATCTTGCAATTTTAAGTCAGTTTGTAGTTCTTTTAAAATGATGTTACCATTTACTGCAAACATCTGGAAACTACCAGTTTTTCACACTGGTAGCTATGCATATATAAATAAAGGAAGAATATTTTATTTATCTTATAATGTTAAAAATTGTGTTAAGGGGGAGTTTAAAGTATTTTTAATTTCTAAAACGTAAGAGATTCTGTATCTGTTCAAGATTCTATTATTTGATATAAGTATAGGTAACAAAATTGTCTGATAAATTAAAATTGATGTGTATTAGAAAAATTTTGTAAAAGGAAATTGTAATATTTAAATTCATGAGAAAAAGGATGTGTTTTCTTTTTTTAAGGTTTCTACTTTTTAAAATTTAGATATTTTTCTCTGGAATCAACTCAGGAAATCCTTGATGAGTTAAGGCCTTACATGTGTCCATTTGATAGTGAAATGGCAAAAGCTATGAATTATTTTGAACTGTTTTTATGTACTACATTGCCACCTAGCGAGCATCACAGAGGATTTAAGTGAGTTTCTGTTATATATTTTAAATATTTGTTTTATTTTTGATTTTTGGTTTTATAGCTTGTCACTTTTGTACATCTTGTGTAAAAATGCATACATGTGTAATGTCTTTTCCCCCTCTCTTTCAGTTGATTCTAAGTAATACAATAAATAAATAAATCTCTAAAATTTGTTACAGTTATTTTGATAAGTTAAATCAATGCTGGCTTATTGTTGGCCTGCTGTTCATTGCTTTGCCTGCCAATTTATTAATTACAGCCTTCATATTATTCCATTTCAGTTCATTTAATGATTTGTATTGCTGAAATAAGGGACACTTGTACAACTTTTCAAAAGAATTTTACTCAGTTTTCTTCAATTTTATCATTTTTCGCGAAGAAAGATTGTGAACATCGTAATGTATGCAGATTGCATTAAAGAGCTCTGTTCACTTTGATTTATATTGCAGAAATAGATATTTTAGAACTTTTCGAGAGTATTTTTTCCTGTTTTGTACAATTTAATTTAATTATTTTTTTTAAGGTTGTAAACTCCATAACATTAACAGATTACATTGAAAAGCTCAAATTTTGAAATTTACAAGTGTTCTCTCCGAAAACTGGATTTTATAACAACCCATTCAAATGCAACATGAAGTGTTAACTGTCTGAGCTGCGGTTAAGAGTTCAGGGAAACTGCATGTGACACATCCATCTAGAAAGCACAAAAGGGAGGGCTCAGAATGTTCCTCATAAATATTATGTAAAGAATGTCAATGTTTACATAGGTGGGGAAATCTAACGAACATTCCTCTCTGCCCTAAAATTAGAATGGGGTTTTTCTTATTTACTTTCAACCAGAGTCTTAAGACTGATAGGTGGATTATACCTATGAGAAAAATTTTTTTTTCTACTATGAAATTTATTAAAAATCCAAATCTATCATATTAATTTATTTAACATTACCAGATAATCTGAGGTTTATAATATGAGAAAATTAATATTTGAAAAACAGAATTAAACTTTAAGTCCTTGTTAAAAAGTTTCACCAAATACCAGTTTTCTTTTTAAATGACATGCAGAATTATTTTATTAAAATAATTATATTATCACAAATTAAGGATAATCATTGATGCAATACGAAGTTTAAAATCTGGATGTTCAATATCCAGAATGATCTAATAGCCGGATCTCTGAACCACTAGCAAGAAAATAAATAAAATATCTTCCCTTCCCTTAGAAAATCTAGTGATAAAGGATAAAATACTCAACAAAAGGAAGCAGGTTTGTTGTAAATGTTTTTTTTTTTTTTTTTTTTTACTACTAGTGGAAATCTGCTTGCCACTTTCAAACACCTGCAGGTTAGGGTATTGCACTGTGGCCAGTGAAAGTTGACAGGATGTTGGCCACAGATTATTTACTCACACTTTGGCACTAGAATAGTTGGAGAGGGGTTAGGATTTTTTTCTCTGATCTAAACAGTAAGTGAAGTCCCAAAGTTGCCATGTGTACATTTCTTACTAATGTTAAACTGATGATCTAAAATTCAGAACCACTGCAGACCCAATGATTCCAAATCTGACGATTAGTACTGAATTTAAATAAGTTTTTTGTAAAGTAATAGTGTTTCTAGTTTGTATTCTAGGAACTAATTACAAAAAATCTAGTCCTTTGATGGTAACTTTAATAATCTGTTATTGACTATTACTAAATTAGATTACATTTTCAGCATAATGTATCATAGTATATATGTCACTACACAAAGAATATTAGTATGCATAGAATATTATTTTTTTATATGGTCCCTAATATTAAACAAACTTGATTCAAAAACTGCATAATTTTTCTTTATTCGAATTCACCTGCTAATATTTTAAGAGAAAAGTTACCTTTCGAATAAATCACATTGATTATAAATGAAAGGGTTTTTAAATTTCCTTAAGAATGAATCGTATTGTAATGTATACTTAGATGTATTTGGTTTTTATTTCAATACTGAAAAATATTACGATTTATAAAAATAGCTTTATTTTTAAAATTTAAAGAATTTTTTAAAACGTCTAATTTATTTTTATATCGAAGACAAATTGAGACAAACATTTTCTCAAATTAAAATAAGAGGAGTTTAAACCAAACAATAAATTTTCACCAATAATTTAATAAACAACTATGTGTGCCTAATGAAAATTTTGATGTGAATACAATTAAAATTCATCACAGCTGAATGTCATACTTGCAAATCATGCATTTCATATAATAGTAAGGAAATTTTGTTAATCTTATAGGGATGAGATAGTCTTTGAAGGTTGAGGGGAGTCTCTTACTGAAGTCTAGATTGACACTGAACTTATTTATCCCACAGAGGCACCAAAAGGCTTCTTATTGCTCTTGTTATCTGCCTAAATCAATGTCATCAAAGATGTCCATCCTGAACTGCATGATACTGTAAATTTCACCTAAGTTAGACTTTTAAGAGACAAAAAGATGTAAGGAAATTATGTTAGCATTTTAAATCATAGGTTTTTTTTTTAATAGCTTTTTCAACTTTTAAGAGGATGCTTTGATTCTGAAAACAGATAGTCATAAAATATGACTTCCTGTTCCTGATTCACCTAAAAGATTCCTTCCAAATGTTTCTGAATTGCACAAAAGTCCTTTTTGTGATAGTTGGGACTAGCAATACAAGGAATGGCTGAGTGGAGTATCACCACTTTGCTGGCATTTCAGGCACAGAAAGCCATATCTGGATGCCGAAAATAATGTATAATTTCGGTGTTACTTTTCATCAGAATTAAGCTGATGTTTATTTGAAGCATTTTTTGAGTGGGGGGTATGTTTCTTGCTTTTCATGTTATCTGAGCAAGCCAAATGTCTTAGCTTTGGAATGCCTGAATTCAGTAGTTTACGCTTTCATAATAAAAATAATCATAAACTTTACTGAGATTAAAAAAATAACAGTTTAAAATTGGGCAAAACAGAAAATTTATTTTGGCATAGATTTTGAATAAAATTCTTAGAAATTTCAAGTGCAATCATACACAGGCCCCTTTTCTTCAGCAGCAGGGGGGGGGAGGAAAAAAAAAACCAGAATTTGCTAATGGAGTACCATAGAAAAAAAATTCCATTTTTTAATCATCTTTTTTTCCTTTCCTCTTGAAGAAAAGGGATCTGTGTCTGTTTTTGAATAATTTACAAAGTTTTATTCAGAATCTATGCAAAAGTAAGGTTGTTGTTTTAATTACATTAATTTTTTAATTAAGGTGGTTGTTTTATTATATTAATTTTAAATTTGCACTGGTGTTCTTCTCTTTTAATTTGACTAAATAAAGATTCAGCAATATCATTGTTCAGCCAGGTATTCAGATTTTTTTGATAAAAGGGGTTTAAAAATATGGTTGTAGAAAATATTAAATATTAAAAAGTAATTTAGTATTTATAAGCAACTTAAAAACATAGCTTAAATAGTTCAAAGAATGAGTGCTGAATGCTGAAAGCCTGAATTTTGTAATGGAGTATATGCATGTGTGTCATCCAAACAGTTGACTGTTTGAGATATTATTCTAGTTGACTTATTTACAATTTTAATATATTTATTACCATATGATAGTTAAAAATCATTTACTTCTAGATGACAAATTTCTTAGTACATTTTCTTTTTATTTAGAAAAATACTAGGGGTGCTAAATGCCTGTGAAATTTTTGATATGTAATTATATCTCAAATAGCAAAGAATAGCTAGCAGGTGCTAAGTGACGCGTTGCCACCAGGCAAGCGAAGTGGAAGAGGATGCGTAGTTGGTTGCATTACTTTTATAAATCTTGGAAAGTCTTTTTTTAGTTCTAGATTGCTATCCAGAACTAAAACAAGCTCTATAACTTGGCAAAAGTTTACAGCAATGCTGATGCTGCAAGAAAGCGCAAATGCCTCGAAGGGGTTGCATTTAAATTACAAATTAGTAATTTAAAGGTATGTTGTCAATTTCTTCCAAATTTAATTTGGTAATAAATTTTTCTTCATATTTTTATGTTTTGCTGACACGCGCACATCTATATGTCATGAAAAAGACTTTACAATATTGGTGGTGTAGAATGTTGATCCATTTTGAAAAGCAAACTTGGCAGTCAAGGCTGATTAAATATTCATATTTCAATTGACATTTGAGGCCACAATTCTCTTGCCACTCTAATCGTGCCTATTCAAGAATAATTAATTTTTGATGCTGTTGCAATAGGAAGAGAGCAGCAAGGCAGTATCTTAACTCCCATTAAGAGGTAGAAGCCGAAATGCGCAGTTATCCAGTATGGCAGCTTATTTAGAGAAAGCTTTGGTTTAAGCTCCGAATTTGCTACATCATCAGCATTACACAAGTCATATGATATGGATTGATCTAGAAATGACGCAGTGCAGTTAAAGACATCACTATTTTTAGAATAGATAGGGGGATTAAGAGGCTATTGCTTTAATTTGCATATTTTTTATCACACATATGTTACACACATATGTACACAAATTTATCACACATATGTACACAAACATACATATTTGCTAAATTTGAAACCTTCATTTGAATTCAAACATCATAGGCAGTTTATAATATAAATAGAAAATCATTGCTGATATTAAGACTGTAGATTCACAAATTATATATTGAAGATTAATAAACTAATATTATTATAATCTAGCTTATTTCAAATTTCTGAAATGGAAATTAATTTTGCTGAATAATATTATTATTGAATCTGAGAAATTAAAATGTGTAAGTAGGGTTTCATTAATAAATCTTTTATGTTAAAATGCTGTGTTGTATGAGGTATGCATGTATTGGTTTTAAATTATTGATATGCAATCAAATTTTATACTTTTTAAAATTTTTTAAGCATTGTAATATGAATTTATTTTAGATTGTGGTTTGATGAATTCATGGAAATTTGGCAAAATTGGCATAGTGTACCAACATGGGAAAATGTGAGTAAAGTATAAATTTTAATCTTACTTTTTATAATTATGAAATGTGTTAGAACAAGGTCTACATATATTTGAGATTTCTTTAATATGATTACAAAATTCTTAAATTATTAACTACTGTGTCATAATTTAGAAGTACACATCAATTACATAAAATGCAATCAGTTAACTAATTTAAATCATTATTAAGTCTGGTAATAAATATCTGAAAAGAATCTTAAACTAGTAATATGCTTCTAGGCTTGACCGAAACATCTGAATTATAATTAAATATTTGTAAAATAATACAGACACTCAAAATCATTACCTTTTTTTTACAAGAACATAATGAGCTGTACATCTTCCAGAAAAGTGCATTTGACACAGACTGTTACTGTTAAATTACTAATACTGTTAATAAAGAGTAGTAAAGTTTAATGAACAAGCAGGGAAGTTTCCTCTGAATAACATTAAATCATAGAACAGTCATCTGTGACTTAGACCAACATATCAGAAAATGATGGTAAATCCAAAGAGAAAGGATATTAGGATTGTAAATCAATCTCTAAAAATTTGAAGTGAAATGGAGTGATAAATGGACATTAGGGGGGGAAAATAAGTAAATGAATGAAAAATTCAAGCCGTAGATATTCTTTGAGTCATAGTCAAACAAATTTGAAGCAGCAGAAGACAGAAAAGTGTAAAGAAATAAAATTCTGCTCAGAGTGACGAGGTAGAGGCTGCATTAGCATCAAAAACATATCTTTTGATAGCAGAAGTTTAGTTTCTCTACCTTTTTGGGAGGAGGAGGAATATTTTATTTTCAATACAGAAGTCATACTATGTTCAGCACTCACTGTATGTTACCATGATGAACCTGTAAATGTAAAGATTCTGTACAGCATATGAGGAGTTGATTTTTCCTTCCTTTTAACATATTCTTTGCCCAGTATGATTCAGTTGAGTTTCTCGCGAGGTCAAAATCCCACTGTCCGTTCCTTGGAGGGAATGACTAAGATTTACGTAATACATGCCAACAAAATTACATAAATATGGTATAAAACTGTTCAAACTGTGCTCCTGCAAAGGATACACATGGTTTGTGAAAATATATTTTGGACAAGATACCAGCAAGCGAGAGCAAGTTGGCATAGTCGAAGACGTCTTCATTGACTTTGTAGATAAATTACTAAACGAAGGACAAGCTTTTACACGAGCTATGAATTAGCAGTCAGAATTTTAAATTTGACTGTATGAAACAGCAAAAAATGTATGCCAAGTTTTGTAATGACATTCACTTCATTCAAGACATTCATAATGCCCATTCAAGACATTCGTAATGCCCATTCAAGACGGACGAAATGATTTCACGAGAAGATGACAGCAGTATTGTGGTGCTAAAATGGAGGGATGTTCGCAATGTTAGAATCTTATCAATGCATGCAACCATTATGAATTCAAGCTCAGATTTTACTATTGCTTTCATCCTCTGAAACAGAAATCTTTGGCAATAATGGCATATATATCATATGACATCGATATATCATATGCCACAACAATGCAGAAAAGCATTAAGTAGTATCAGAAATTAGCACTATATTTACTCTTAGGAGTAACTATAATAAAGGCTCAAGTCATGTACCAGAGACCACAAATTTAAAAAAAGAAAAATTCAGAACTTCTTGGTACCGAATTGTTGTCCCTGGAAAATACTATGCCTGACAATAATAATAAGAAAATGAAGAAAGTGTCTCACTGTTTAGAGATTCTTAAGAATCAACAGGACAAGTCTATAAGAAGGATGTGCTCCCTATATTACCAGAAGAAGAGGCAAAATGCCGAATGCCAAGAAGTAAAGAAAATGTGAAAAAAACTATGACCTATTATTCAGATTGTCCAAAATCACCTCAAATGTGTTTAGACTGTTTTAATGAATACCATGCGACACAGTATGTTGTGATATTTTATCCTAAATATAAATTAATAAAAAGTGTATTATAATGTGTATGTTTTTAATATTTTTATGTTGTATATCCTGTATTTATATTTCAGTGCTTATTCCATTAAATTCCTTTTAAAAATCCAACTGAAAATCATATTTAATTTGAACAAGAGCATCATCCATACTTGGGTGACAGGCATCATCTCCACGGAAACATACCCGTCAGCCAGACATGGGTGACATGGCGATCAACATGTGAATATTCAAACTTTGTGAGCATGTTAAATCCATTTCTTATAAACTGAAAGGAATTTTATGCAATTCTGAGGTGAAATCAATTTTAGTAAATTTTGAAGTATGAAATAAGGAACTCAGAATTGAGTGTTCATGATGTTGAAATTAAACCTTCAGCAGATGCCTTTTTTTCTATGATGTTACCATGGCCATTTTGAAGCATTTAAACATTTAATACATACAATGAATATTTTCCCTGCAAAAGTGTGTTTAAATAGCAATAAAATGAATATTTTGAATCATGTTTTTATTGAAAATTTTTGAGTGAAAAAGACTTAAACTTTCAGTACTGAGTGTTCATATTCAGTTGGCAAATTTATTTAGTATTCTTGGTTATGCTCAAAATATTTTTGTTTATTCACAGAAGTAATTTTTATCAATTTTTTATGTAAAACAATTCGAATATGTAATGAATGAATGGGTTTTACACAATGATTTATCGCATTCTTCACAAACAGATGAAGCCAGATCAGGACAATCATCTCATCGACGAAGAACTGGAGTTTTCTTCAGAAGTTTTGCGGCTGTCTCATCTGGTAAATTTAGGATTCTTTTAGAGTTAGTTCTGTGGTATATTTGTGTTCTGTGATCTATCAAGAAGATGCTCCTTCACTAAGTCAACGGCGAGTTCCTTCAAATAATTTCATCGTGACAAATGATTTGTTTCATTGCTGAATTTGTATATAATATAAGAGTTTATGCCTGTGATATTTGTTTAAAAAAATTGTTAAAGATCAACTTTTTCTTGACACCGAATACGTTTTACACATATCATCCACTATATCTACTCCTCCTTTGATCAAGTTGTAAAATACAATGATTTCAGTTTTACATAAATCATGCATAGTCTGATCGATAGTGTGATCGAAATCAGACCCATAGTCTGATTTTGGACGATAAAATCGTCCAAAATAAAATTGAAGATAACACTAGAACAGATTTTCCTCTTTTAGGAGCTTTCATAATTTCGTATCACATTTTTCATTATTTCTCCACATAAAATCCAAAATGTGCAGTCCTTGACATACAAGGTAAAAATTTTTTAAGAACTTCTTTTTTGTTCTTTCTACTTGTATCATGAGCTGTAAGTTTGTTTTTCTCCAGCAATTCTAATAATAAAGGGAAGTTCATGAAGCTAGTTATTCATAATTATATTTGCAACCAGTTTGAATAATTGGAGTAATAGCCCTCTTTATGACATCACTTGGTTTATTGCTTACTTTGAAAGGTCCATTAGGATTCTGTCCAATATAAAAATCCAGATTATGTGTATAATAATTTCTGTCATCTTACTGTGCAAAAAATTTTTAACCATATTTCGCTGGTTTCCTCTTAATGTATTGGCAAAACGGGTATCTTTCATGAGGTGTTTCTAGTTCCTGATTAATAGCACAACACTCAAAAATGCAATACACTTTTTGAAAATCATTCTTTCTTCAAAAACGTTTCTTATTGAGACTAGTTATCAGATAATTTTCTTGCTTGATGATTGCATATGTGTATTTCATCGAATTTCAAACATCAAAGGAGGAAATGAAATGGTTGATTGAGATTGTAGCGAATGGCACGATTTGACTCACCAACTTGCATGAGTCAAAGACTATTGTCGCGTGAACTGTTGTGTTTGAAGTCTTTAGAATATACCAATAAGATGTAATTTCCATAGCAACCAGATATAATCAGAAAAAATTTTGTTATGTTCAATGTAAGTTTTCATTTAATTAAATAGTGTTTTGTTATGTGTCATACTATCTCTTCATTTTAGGAGTTGCTGAACATTGGGCAGATATTATTGCATTACTGTTTCAGAGTTAGCCTTCATTGCAAGATGTGCAACATAAATAATTTAGGATGAAACAATCTTGGTAACTAGTGATAGAAATTAATTGGAGATAATAAATATACCATATTTTAAAACCCAGCAGAAACTGTTGTTTACAACATGTGTGAAGAAAATTGGCATTACTTCAAAAAGCTCTCAATTTGAAAGCACTTTGGGAGTCTCAGCCAAAAGTTAAGTCTACACGTTAATAGAAGAATGCCAAAAAGATCTTCTGCATCTATTTTAAAAGGCAAAGATAATGAAAAAAATTTGAAGATTTTTAATCTGCTGAAACATATTGTGATAAATTTTCAGAATAGTGTTCCAGAATTGAGCAATTATCAAGCAAGAAGCCATGTCAACTGTTAAATCACCCAGAGAAATTATTTCTAAAAAAGGAAATTCAAGTTACCAAAGAATGTCTAGAAAAATATAAGATGATGTGAAAGAATGTTTGACGTTTTAGAGTCAATATTCCAAGATCAATGAAAATGAGAGTATTCTTAAAGAGGATAACTTCCAGTCTTTGCTTAAAGCAGTACTTAAAAAGCAGTAATACTAATTTCATAAGCAGCAAGAGTGGTCAAAAGCTTCCCAGCTGTGGCCATGAATTATCCAAAAATGATAAGTAAGCTCTGGGAAGGTTTTGGACAAGGAGATTTATTTGTTCAAATTTACGTGCGAGATCTTTTGAGTATGGTCATGAAGAATGCTGTTTCTGTATGTTTAAAAGTAGACCTGTCAGCGTTGTATGATGAATTAGAAGACAAAAAAAACGAGTGCTAGACAGTCTGGGAAGAACGTAGAGAAAATGTCGTGATTTTTTAACCCCTCTAGTAGAATGATGCTTGCCCAAAGAAATTCTGATTGCTTGGGAAATGAGAAGAAATTTAAGTGAAAGAAGTGAATTCAAAGAACATTAAAAAAAAATTTAAAAATTTTGTATTTCATGAGACAAGAAATTAAAAACGTAGAAATGATTTAACTTGCACATTCAAGTTTTCCTGTTAATTTAGTTAGTAAAAAAACAATGCATGTTGATAAACCGTTTATTGCAGCAGCTTTGGTAAGCACTTCTTAAATAGTTCAGGTAAGCGAAATTTCAGCTGTCTTTTTTGTGAGAAAATACATCCTACTAAAGATTATTGTACTCCTAGAATTATGAATTCAGATGCTAAAAGGAAAATTTTGATGCAAGAAAAGGCTTGCTTTATATGTTTTCATGTAGGCTATTTAGCAAAGTTTTGAAAGTGAAAAATATTTGTTCCTATTATAACTTCAAAACTTGTAACAGTCTTATGTGTTACCATAAATATAATGTCTTATTCACCATAAATATAATATGGAAAAAATGAGCCAGAAGTGCTTGAAAGTGAAGAAAAGTGTGAATCAATTTAGACTAATGCATTAACTAATAACTGTAAAAATGAAATTTTATATTTAATAACTTTAATGTCATTAAATGTTTAATTTACTTTTTAACATTTAATATTTTTAATGTTGAAGCTAAATCAAGTAATAGAAAAGGAAGTTTAAGGGGCATTCTTGATATCAGATCTCAACATTCTTATGTTAGCAAATTTGCAAAAGATACTTTAACTTATAGCCACAGAGAAAAGTCAAGATGTTGCATAACTTGTTTGGGAGGAGGGAAATGAAACAAACAGAACATGGTGCTTATAATTTTTTGATGTGCTTTTTAAATGAAGAATTATCCTGCTTTCAAATAGAAGCGTTTTCAGAACAAAAAATTTACAACGCCGTTTGCAGGGTCACTTGAATGAATTGAAAGAGGAAGGAGTTTATCAGGTCTGAGACTCCTTTAGGCAGAAATTGACTTGTTGCTACAGAAACAGTCTATGAAATTGAACTGTGGCTTGTATTTGCTAAATGTAAAAAAACACTATAGAAATTTTTGATAGGAAAATGCAATACATCTCAAAGTGAGAAAAGTAGAGGCCTGTTTTGTAATGCTGTAGCTTTGCAAGTGAACAATTTATTAGTTAATGAATTATGGAGGTTAGAAACTATTGGGAATTCTGACCCTGTTGAAAATAAAAAGCAGACCATGGAGTGTGCTGTGGTATTCGACTATGTGGTAAACATAGTCTAAAAGTCCTACCAGATGGTATATATGAAATGTGCTTCCCTTTTAAATCGGAAATTATCTTCTAATAAAGAAATAACTTGGAAGCATCACCAGAGAATATACCAGTGCACAAAAGGTAAACTACTTTTGGATGAATATAAACATGTTTCAGCAGTGGGAGAAATTCTGTATAATCAAAAGGGTTACATATTATACCAAAAGTGGTCATTTTTTATTTCATTGCCTGTCATTAAAAGTGATAGCATAATAAAAAAAATTAAAATCATATTTGGTGCATCTGCTAGACAGAGTGGGAAAATTTTCTTGCTCTTTTATATAAAAGGCCTAATTTAATGGAGCTCATTCATGATGTTGTGTGTCACAGTTATGTCAGAGGTGTTTCAGGTGTGGGAGAACAAGAAATATTTATTGAAAAGGCTCAGCAGATTATGTCTCAAGGGTGTTTTAATTTAAGAAGCTGGGAAAGCAGTGTGGAATTGTAAATTTGTATCTAAAAATAAAGGTGTGACAAAATTACTAGGTAGATGGAAACTTTAGTGATGGGCAAATATTTACAAAAAGAATTATACTATTTTTGATTTAGACGATATTTTATCCCATTGGTTTTTTGAGTGTGACTTTGCTTCCAAAAAATTACAGAGGTTTTTCTCACATTTTTTAGACATCTTTGCTATATAAAAAATCACTGGCTTGGAAAAAATGTTTTTAATTGCAACTATAGTTTTGAAAGTAAATTATCATCTGCTATTTGATAATTTTGTTTTCATGCAAAATGGCACTTTTAAAAAAGTAGTTGACTAAAGGCTATGTTTGTGGTCTTTCCGAAGAAAATTATTGATATTTAGTTATTAAAAATTGCTTTGAAGGCCATAATTTTTTATACTATAGTTTTGAAAGTAAATTATAATCTGCTATTTGATAATTTTGTTTTCATGCAAAATGGCACTTTTAAAAATGTAGTTGACTAAAGGCTATGTTTATGGTCTTTCCGAAGAAAATTATTGATATTTAGTTATTAAAAAATGCTTTGAAGGTCATAATTTTTTATATCTAAAGCAACGATAGGTAGTGTTGTCAAAAAGAAAGAGAAAACAAACCCATCGAAGTTTGGCTTCATGGAGAGAAATTTTTCAAAACTCATAGCCAAGAAAAAATGGAATGTTATGAATGTTGCAAAAGTAAGATCTTCAACATTAAAAGAAAGTATGCCAAGTACAGTTGCAAAATCATTCAAATGCTCAATGTCAACTGCAAACAAAGTGAGTAATTCGGATTTGAATCGTAAAAAGGTGAAAAAACATATTGTGCATCATCTTTCTCCATGACATATCACGGAGAAACATTTATGTGGACAAAAATGGAAAAATGTTGTCACAATAGACAGATCTTGGGTGTATTTGAGTTACTGCAATGAAAAGAGATGCATTTATTATCATCAAAGCGGAGAAAAAATTCTTAAAACATGCTTCAAAGAATCTGAAGAAATTTTTCTAAGGGTTTTATGATTGTTGATGATTTTTCATGTAAGGGGAAATTAAAAATAAAGACAGTGGAGAAAAATGTTAAGATCAACTCCACGTATTATGAAAAAACACATTTTATAC